CCATAACCTATAGGTTTGTACAGTTGTATGTACTGTGTTAGTCCTGGCTACATAAGGTGTTTGTGTGAATTAATCAATAAAAGGAGCACATAAAGTAAAGGCCAAGTTTCATTCAGTATATTCTTATAAGTTTTTGTTCATAACAACTGTGTTGTTGTACACAACAATTTACAATGTATATAACCATAAAATGTCTTCCATAAGCACAACAGTAGCGGCTCTCACTCTTAACCTCACATAAGGTTGGGACTTGGGTCATTTAGCTTTAAGCCAAACAATCCTGGGAGAGAACACCTGCACTTGTTCAAACACTCAACATATCTTTTAGTACATGGACATAACTCCAGTGTAGGTAAACATTACACAACATACTGTACTTACCTTTGAAGCCTTATGAGACCTACAGTACAGTACTTGAGGGTTTAACACCTGAGTTATGTTACTCTCATGTACTTCACAGATTGTTGTAATACATTTATTGTTAAAAGGCAGAGAATAAAAGATAAATAAATAATAAAAACAGTTTAGTGTTAAGTGAATCGTAATGAAATACTTTGTACATTAAGTACACACGAAGCACCGAGTCACATACGCTACAGTGGGTTAATTTAGTCATAACTTAAACCTGGAGTGTGACCCAGAAACAAATCCTCAGTAACTAAAGTAACTACTGGAGCACAGGATGAGACTCAACAAACAGCCACACAACACAACCTAAACTTTAAGGTTGAAAATATAAATTATGTACAAATAAATATTACCTAAACCTTTACCATAAGTTCAAGTGTTTAGCCTTTAATACTACCTGACACTTACAAGATAACATGTGACAATAATAAGACTGTTGCAGATGAAATCAATCCACCATAAGGCTGGTTCTCTAGGTTAAGTGTTGGCAAAACTGATGATTGTGTCTCACTGTAACTAATTCTTCCATACACTCTCATGAACCTTTAATATTATTTACCTGAATGGAAGGCCTTTAGTTTTAGTGATTCACAATAGATCGAGCCAGAAAATGGCTTCTCACCCCCCTATATGGCCTCCCTTACACCCTTTAATGGCCTCCCTTACACCCTTTAATGGCCTACCCTACACCCCTATATGGCCTAGAGAAACACCTAAGAGAATAAGAGGACTCGTAAGTAACATAAATATTGTAGTATCAGAACATCCACAGTCTTGTTACTTCTACGGTAATTACCAAGAGGTTGACCTTAAATGGAGGTTCGTCAGGGTGGTGGCGGCAGCTTTGAAACTCAACCGACTCTGAATCAATGAAACTCACAGACCTTAATGAAACCTCTATTCAACGTACTATACAAAGATTAAAGTCCATTATACCAAAGGTCCATTAGATGTAAAACCTAAGTACTGTATATGGAGAGAAAAGTTTGTTATATGTAAGTTTGACTACAATAGGGGCTCACATGAGTCAACAGTAGATGGGGTACAAACAAGCATCGGCCCTACTGAGTATGAGAAAATACCCACGGCGGAGGGTCTAGTGGTCTCTAGTCCCAGTAACCTCCAGCCTGACCTGACCTGACCTGACCTAACCTCCAGCCTGACCTGACCTGACCTGACCTAACCTAACATCCAGCCTGACCTGACCTAACCTAACCTCCAACCTGACCTGACCTAACCTAACCTCCAGCCTGACCTAACCTAACCTCGAGTCTAACCTAACCTAACCTCCAGCCTGACCTAACCTAACCTCCAGCCTGACCTGACCTAACCTAACCTAACATCCAGCCTGACCTAACCTAACCTCCAGTCTAACCTAACCTAACCTCCAGCCTGACCTAACCTAACCTCCAGCCTGGCCTGACCTAACCTAACCTCCAACCTGACCCAACCTAACCTCCAACCTGACCTGACCTAACCTAACCTCCAGCCTGACCTAACCTAACCTCCAGCCTGACCTAACCTAACCTCCAGTCTAACCTCACCTAACCTCCAGTATTAATACCTATGAGGACTGACACAAATTTAAACTAAACTCCAAATCCTAATGGTAAGGTATGGTTAAGTTAGCTGGGTGAGTTAGGTTAGGTCAGGTCAGGTCAGGTTACATTAGGTAAGGTGTAAACAAGAGAACGATGCATAACAGGAGACCATATTAAATGGAGCAATCTACTAACTCGCAATACGGTTGTTGATATATACCTGTATTGTACATGTGATTAGTGTTTGAAACATTGACACTTACCAGACCCAAAGGCTGAGGCACTTCTAATAATACTACTGCACAGTGAAGCCCCTATCTAATGAACTTATATAGATGAAAGTCTGTTAGATTGAGAGGTCTGTTAGATGTAAACACCCCATCTAACAAACTATGAAGGTCTGTTAGACGTAAACACCCCATCTAACAAACTATGAAGGTCTGTTAGACGTAAACACCCCATCTAACAAACTATGAAGGTCTGTTAGAAGTAAACACCCCATCTAACAAACTATGAAGGTCTATTAGATGTAAACACCCCATCTAACAAACTATGAAGGTCTGTTAGATGTAAACACCCCATCTAACAAACTATGAAGGTCTATTAGATGTAAACACCCCATCTAACAAACTATGAAGGTCTGTTAGATGTAAACACCCCATCTAACAAACTATGAAGGTCTGTTAGATGTAAACACCCCATCTAACAAACTATGAAGGTCTGTTAGATGTAAACACCCCATCTAACAAACTATGAAGGTCTGTTAGATGTAAAACACCCTATCTAACAAACTATGAAGAAGGTCATTAGATGTAAAACACCCATCTAACAAACTATGAAGGTCTGTTAGATGTAAACACCCCATCTAACAAACTATGAAGGTCTTAGATAAATACCCATCTAACAAACAATGAAGGTCTGTTAGATAAACACCCCATCTAACAAACTATGAAGGTCTGTTAGATAAACACCCCATCTAACAAACTATGAAGGTCTATTAGATGTAAACACCCCATCTAACAAACTATGAAGGTCTGTTAGATGTAAACACCCCATCTAACAAACTATGAAGGTCTGTTAGATGTAAACACCCCATCTAACAAACTATGAAGGTCTGTTAGATGTAAACACCCCATCTAACAAACTATGAAGGTCTGTTAGATGTAAACACCCCATCTAACAAACTATGAAGGTCTGTTAGATGTAAACACCCCATCTAACAAACTATGAAGGTCTGTTAGATGTAAACACCCCATCTAATGAGTTATATGGATATAAAAATGTGCTATTTTGAGGTTTCTCTGTAGTAATACTCTTGTTGACTTGGGTGAACGATTATCACAAGAGGACAACTGCAACATTACAAGAGTACAGCACAGTATAAGAAGTGTTGATGTCCCCCGGCCACTATTAGAGTGACTACAGCAAACACCTCATAACACACCTTGGCCATAACACTTGAAAATCAAGAGGCTTCAGCGTAAAATAAAAGAGGCACATTCCTCCATCAGGGCTGGTGAGGATAAGACTTGTAGGGATTAAGTTATCTACCCCACTCCTCTCCCCCACCCAAAAAAACAATATTAATCATAGACAAAGGGCAACATAATGTCCCACTACAGGTACTCCTCGACTTACGACCACCCGGACATACGACCGCCGCAGTCGTATAAAATATTTTTCAAATTACTTATTTTCGAGTCCCGACGTTAGTGATTGCGCTGTGTACTGACAAAATTTTCGTTTGTAATTCCCTTCAAAATGGCTGGCAAGCTTAAAAGTGAGAGTTTTGTGAGGCCGAGAAGAAAAAGAGACACCCATTTTAGATTTTCTAGGTATTATTTTCGCATTTTCGACTTACAACCTGGTCGTCGGTCCCTAACCCCATCGTAAGTCGAGGACTAACTGTATATGCTAACCTAAGCAGACATATGGAGTCAACATACTACTACTACTACTACTACTACTACCTCTACGACTACTACTACTACTACTACTACTATAATACTACTACAACTACTCGTAAAATTGTTTACAGTAACGGTGTTGTTTTTGTCTGCCATATAATCTCTTTACCAGTTTTTAGTTTCACATCTCTACTGTATGGAGACAAACCACCATAGAATAATGAGATTACTTCAGGAAAGTTGTCAGTGAAAACTAGACACCGCAAAATGAAGTTACAACAACGATGAAAAACTTAACGGAAAAACAAGTACAGTAACAAAATTAAAAAGTAATGGCTGGACTGGAAGACTGCATTAGTAAGGTGTAAAGAGTTAATGAAGGAGAGTTATACACTTCTGGAATACAGTTTGTGAATTAATGCATCTTAAGAGTAATTCCCTATCATACACCAAACTCACACTACACCATTTATACAACCCATCGTGTAGTTTCAGCACAAATGGCACCATAATAGTGTAGTACTGTACAAAGCTTGATTAAAATCCAAGATATTCCTCTGTACTACTGGAATGACTCAGAAACATGTCTGAGGCATGAATGATCTTAACAAGACCATTTATTTTTAAAAAGATAAAAAGTTACCTTTTTCTTCATTTTATCATTATCTTGAGTTAGAGTAGAAGCAGTTTATCAAAAGTCAGCTGCCTGTGAGCCACTTACTACTGAAATGCTTCACTTTCTCTAGGCAACACTAGATACTCTTTCCCCAGGTTCTAAATATCTTTGACCTGGTAAATATAATGCACTTCTACAGGAGGCAACACTCCCATATGGGTAAATGACAATTATACACACATGATTTTTGTTAGTCACAAGTCACCACAAAGTGGACCATATACAATACAGTAATTGTCAGTGATGCTTCAGTTTTGTTTTCTCATTAATGACCCATTACAGAATCTGCTTAATAATGAGTGAGGGACCCATTGGCACCACTGAAAATTATCCCAGAAAACCCAGAATAAAACCTACTAACTTATGACGCACTTTGATAGTTTTGGCCCAGAGCACGATAACACGAGATAAAACTCACCGGCACTTTATCCATTTAGATTAAAAGGTTATAAAATAAGAGACAATATGTTCAACAAGTGTGATATGTACTAAAAGTATTTCATCAACACAGACACAGAACGTACAACCACTCTCTACCTCAAGCAAACTGTTCTCATGTAAACACCAACTTAATAACCTGACACAATAATGCCAACTTATATCACTGCCATAGTCTTTAACCGAAACGATTCAATGTATACGCACAGTAGTTCAATACAATTTAATTAAAAATAGATTAATTACTCCTAACTATGATTTACCTACATTTCACACTTAATAAAAAAATAAACAATATTCTCGTTTTAAAATACTGTACTGTACTGTCAAACAACACAGAATATTTCTTATACTTAATATGATAAGATTGCAAAGTAAAGAACACTTATGTTGATCATTTTGAATTTATGATATGTCACCTACTAAAGGCTTTTAACTCAGGTCCTAAACTTATACTAAGCATGATGGCTCCTCCAGGGCACGATACATCTGCAGCCTCGGAACTGTAGAAACTATAATGGTAGAAATATGATATATTGTACAGTATATATGTTTAGTATTGTCTGATGAGTAACATTCTCCATAACCCCTTCACTACGGGGACGCCACTTTAATGTTTTCTTTGGCTAACACCATATGATTTTGTTCGGGTCAGAGGAGAGCCCATATATAATGGGTTAAAAGAATCTGTCAGGTGAACATTGACTTTAATGCACGAACACCCAACTTAAAGGACGACGATGTTGACGAGAGTTGATGATGGAAATTCTTATGCCATAATATAACGATGTTTACAGTCATATGAAAACCTGAAATGGGAATGACGGAATAAATATTGTTATTAAGTATTACAGTACAGTACTGTATACTCTTAACTCATAAAGAGGTTCTTTATTTGGTGATTGTTTCAGCTGTAGACAAAAGCAGATGGAAGGACACAAGATGGACACTGGGCACCACAAGAGTGTTGTGACGGCACCGAGTGTGAGCTGTTTCAACACCAGCCCTGACCAACACTGGAGCAGGTTCAGGTACATTCAAGAGCCGGTGAATGCCCAGTGCTTGCCAACTGTGTGTGACAGAGACGTGACCGATCGCCCGGGCGGCTAACAAGCCAATCAGTGGCAGAGAGGATAAAAGCAAGATACAATTTGATCTCTTTTAGGGGGGGGGGATTCAAGTAAAATTTACATAGCTCTTATTGACTGGAGTGGTATTTCATGTTCTGACAAGAGTACAGTACCTAAGCTAACCGGTAACAATGCAAGATGAAATCCTTATCCACCGTGGTACAAATATTTGTCATGCAGCTTAATCCACGATAACTGTGAAGTGAAGACAAGAACGGATAAAACTCTCTACAAACTAAATCCACTTCTTTAATGACTAGTTATTTCACGTATAACTCAACACTTGGGTGTAAGACATTATCAAACATGGCGTAGCTGACGTACACACACAGCAGACTCATTGCATGTATTCGTGAGATGAGCCACAAATACTGATTAGGTTCCCTACAACACACAAGAGAAGACAAGTTTTCATATTATGTTTCTTGTTCATGGATAATGGCATACTTATGACTGTTTGGAGAGAGAGAGAGAGTGAGAGAATAAAACTGACTTAAAAAGAAGATAACATGAAAAGAACTCAACATAATGTAAAGCTAGTAAAAGTTTGTGTGTATGTAGTGAGTACTAACATACAGTAGCTATCAATAATTTCTTAAGAATTCCACTTCAACTCATGTCATAAAACCTGTCAATGATAAGTAAAGTCTTCTGGGCACAAGATACTTAAAGTTAACTTCCACAACAAGAATTGTTATTGTCTAACTCCCACGTTAACTTTCTTCACGAACGGACAATAACTTGGGCCTCGTGTCTCAGATGAATCAATAATGGCTGGCAACGCTCGAGTAAAATACCAATCATGCTTCCTAGAGACACAAGTACAGTAAAGGCAGCAAACGATCAACAAAATGTCCTTCCCTCACACATTATGGATCCTCGTTCACAATCCCCAAGTCACGGATCTCTGTTGGTGATCCACAACATCACTTGTGAGTGTCCGGTTGTTGAGTCTGGTGGCGAGATATCTTGGCTATTTCATCCCCTAAGGTGTTCAGGTTTTCCTGGGAATAAAAACAATACAAACATATATACTACACAGTCAGCATTATATATGGCCATGGCAGAGAAATAAAATATTAATAGTGTATTTCTGAAATAGCCTTCTGCTCACAGCCAAGGTTCACCAACTGTAAGTGTGAAAAGCGTCAATTGGCTACACTGTTTCAACAAATATGAGGCGTTTAGAATAGCAAGGGCGTATCATCGGGTTTCCCATTTTCTACGCGAGTTCATAGCCCCAGTATGGTACAATCCCCATAAGACAACAAGAGCAGAAAACGTGCAGTACATCCTGAAAATTGAGCTGAGTTAAGATATTCAGACATACACCATTGTTACCCTATAAGTCTCAATCATAAACTCAACCTAACCTATCTCTGGTAAACTACAAGAACTGATGATCACCAAAATCACTTTAAATATTCATGCCACAAAACTGCATTCCAACATTTTACTACACAGTTCATGAAACCTTTTGAGAGTTAATGAAAACACTGAGGTCAACAAAGGCATTAATTATAATAGGGAAAATAACAACCAGATCTAAGTATAAAATAGGTTGTTGCAGTGAAGTTGAATAAGAGAGAGAGGAATGATGAGGACATACAGTACCATGAGAGAGAGGAATGATGAGGACATACAGTACCATGAGAGAGAGGAATGATGAGGACATACAGTACCATGAGAGAGAGGAATGATGAGAACATACAGTACCATGAGAGAGAGGAATGATGAGGACATACAGTACCATGAGAGAGAGGAATGATGAGAACATACAGTACCATGAGAGAGAGGAATGATGAGAACATACAGTACCTTGAGAGTAATGTTCTTCAACAGAGTGTCTTCTAGCACCGCCTGTAACTTCCTGTTGATCTCTAGGGAGAGTTCGAGGGTCATGGAGCCGTCCCGGGGGGCTGAGCCATACACCGAGGCCATGATACCTCCGTGACGCATCAGTTCCGCCTGTAGTACAGTAAGAGTTGTACCGTACTACCATCGGTCGCTTAAGTTATGGCTAATTATATCATTTCCTTCATTGTTGTGTCATAATTTTGATAATAGAGAATAAATTACATCATACAAACTGGCTCTTTCTTTCATTCAATTATGTAGCTACTGTAAAAGTAAAGTTAAAATGGTGAAATACAGTGACAAAATTAATGAGATTTTGCCATTTCAGTCTTGGACAAATATATACATGGAATAGGTAAACATTTCCTTCATATTAAGAGAAATTATTATGAAACTTTTCAAACTATGAATGACAACAATGTATCCAAACTTGAGAGAACACATGGGGTGACCATATAACCTTCACCCCTTAACTGTCTGTACAGGCAACTTACTTCTTACTGGGGAGTTTATCAACACAAAGACCAATGTAATGCTAAGTGATAAGAGGAACAATACAGTGTACAGTACAGTAAAGGTGACAACTTAGTCTTCTCATTATAACTGTTGATGACAGTGTGAGACATAGGCTACACCTTCAACCTGTGTGGTATATAACAAGTATTGTACACTTACACCTCTTGTGGATATGAATGGTCGTTTTGTGAATACAGTACTGTACTGTACTGTACTGTACTGTACTGTATTGTATTGTACTGTACTGTACTGTATTGTATTGTACTGTACTGTATTGTACTGTACTGTACTGTATTGTACTGTACTGTACTGTACTGTATTGCACTGTATTGTACTGTATTGTACTGTACTGTACTGTACTGTATTGTACTGTACTGTATTGTACTGTACTGTATTGTACTGTACTGTACTGTACTGTATTGCACTGTATTGTACTGTATTGTACTGTATTGTACTGTATTGTACTGTACTGTACTGTATTGTACTCTATTGTACAGTACTGTATTGTACAGTACTGTACTGTATTGTACTGTACTGTATTGTATTGTATTGTATTGTACTGTACTGTACTGTATTGTACTGTATTGTAATGTACTGTACTGTATTGTACTGTACTGTACTGTATTGTACTGTATTGTATTGTACTGTACTGTATTGTATTGTATTGTACTGTACTGTATTGTACTGTACTGTACTGTATTGTATTGTATTGTATTGTACTGTACTGTACTGTATTGTACTGTATTGTACTGTACTGTATTGTACTGTACTGTATTGTATTGTATTGTACTGTACTGTACTGAATTGTACTGTATTGTATTGTACTGTACTGTACTGTATTATACTGTATTGTACTGTATTGTATTGTACTGTACTGTATTGTATTGTACTGTATTGTATTGTACTGTACTGTATTGTACTGTACTGTATTGTACTGTACTGTATTGTATTGTATTGTACTGTACTGTACTGTATTGTACTGTACTGTATTGTATTGTATTGTATTGTATTGTACTGTACTGTACTGTATTGTACTGTACTGTACTGTATTGTACTGTACTGTATTGTATTGTACTGTACTGTATTGTACTATACTGTAGTGTATTGTACTGTACTGTATTATACTGTATTGTACTGTATTGTATTGTACTGTACTGTATTGTACTGTACTGTACTGTATTGTATTGTACTGTATTGTACTGTACTGTACTGTATTGTACTGTACTGTACTGTATTGTATTGTACTGTATTATACTGTATTGTACTGTATTGTATTGTACTGTACTGTATTGTACTGTACTGTACTGTATTGTACTGTACTATATTGTACTGTATTGTACTGTACTGTACTGTATTGTACTGTACTGTACTGTATTGTACTGTACTGTATTGTATTGTACTGTACTGTACTGTACTGTATTATACTGTATTGTACTGTATTGTATTGTACTGTACTGTATTGTATTGTATTGTACTGAATTGTATTGTACTGTACTGTAGTGTACTGTATTATACTGTATTGTACTGTACTGTACTGTACTGTATTGTATTGTACTGTACCAGGTACTGTATTATACTGTATTGTACTGTACTGTACTGTACTGTATTGTATTGTACTGTATTGTACTGTATTGTACTGTACTGTACTGTATTGTACTGTATTGTACTGTACTGTACTGTATTGTACTGTATTATATTGTACTGTACTGTATTGTATTGTATTGTATTGTACTGTATTGTACTGTACTGTATTGTACTGTATTGTATTGTACTGTACTGTACTGTATTGTATTGTACTGTACTGTATTGTACTGTACTGTACTGTATTGTACTGTATTGTATTGTACTGTACTGTATTGTACTGTATTGTATTGTACTGTATTGTATTGTATTGTATTGTACTGTACTGTATTGTATTGTATTGTACTGTACTGTACTGTACTGTATTGTATTGTACTGTACTGTACTGTATTGTATTGTACTGTACTGTATTGTACTGTATTGTACTGTATTGTATTGTATTGTACTGTATTGTATTGTACTGTATTGTACTGTACTATACTGTATTGTATTGTATTGTACTGTACTGTATTGTATTGTACTGTACTGTATTGTATTGTACTGTACTGTATTGTACTGTATTGTACTGTATTATATTGTACTGTATTGTACTGTATTGTATTGTACTGTACTGTATTGTATTGTACTGTACTGTACTGTATGTGTATTGTACTGTACTGTATTGTACTGTACTGTACTGTACTGTATTGTACTGTACTGTATTGTATTGTACTGTATTGTATTGTACTGTACTGTATTGTATTGTACTGTATTGTACTGTATTGTACTGTATTATATTGTACTGTACTGTATTGTATTGTACTGTACTGTACTGTATTGTATTGTACTGTACTGTACTGTATTGTATTGTACTGTACTGTGCTGTACTGTACTGTATTGTACTGTACTGTATTGTACTGTATTGTATTGTATTGTACTGTATTGTATTGTATTGTATTGTACTGTACTGTATTGTACTGTATTGTACTGTATTGTATTGTACTGTATTGTACTGTATTGTATTGTACTGTATTGTATTGTACTGTACTGTATTGTACTGTACTGTATTGTACTGTATTGTACTGTATTGTATTGTACTGTACTATATTGTATTGTACTGTATTGTACTGTATTGTATTGTACTGTATTGTATTGTACTGTACTGTATTGTATTGTACTGTATTGTACTGTATTGTACTGTACTGTGCTGTACTGTACTGTACTGTATTGTACTGTACTGTATTGTACTGTATTGTACTGTATTGTATTGTACTGTACTGTATTGTATTGTACTGTATTGTACTGTATTGTATTGTACTGTACTGTACTGTACTGTATTGTATTGTATTGTACTGTACTGTACTGTATTGTACTGTATTGTACTGTATTGTATTGTACTGTACTGTATTGTATTGTATTGTACTGTATTGTACTGTATTGTATTGTACTGTATTGTACTGTACTGTATTGTATTGTACTGTATTGTACTGTACTGTACTGTATTGTATTGTACTGTATTGTATTGTACTGTACTGTACTGTATTGTATTGTACTGTATTGTACTGTATTGTACTGTATTGTATTGTACTGTACTATATTGTATTGTACTGTATTGTACTGTATTGTATTGTACTGTATTGTACTGTACTGTATTGTATTGTATTGTACTGTATTGTATTGTACTGTACTGTATTGTATTGTACTGTATTGTACTGTACTGTACTGTATTGTATTGTACTGTATTGTATTGTACTGTACTGTATTGTACTGTACTGTATTGTACTGTATTGTACTGTATTGTATTGTACTGTACTGTATTGTACTGTACTGTATTGTACTGTATTGTACTGTATTGTACTGTATTGTACTGTATTGTATTGTACTGTATTGTATTGTATTGTACTGTAATGTACTGTATTGTATTGTACTGTATTGTACTGTACTGTATTGTACTGTATTGTACTGTATTGTATTGTACTGTATTGTATTGTACTGTACTGTACTGTATTGTACTGTACTGTACTGTATTGTACTGTACTGTACTGTACTGTATTGTACTGTATTGTATTGTACTGTACTGTATTGTATTGTACTGTACTGTATTGTATTGTACTGTATTGTACTGTATTGTATTGTACTGTATTGTACTGTATTGTACTGTATTGTATTGTACTGTATTGTACTGTACTGTATTGTATTGTACTGTATTGTACTGTATTGTATTGTACTGTACTGTATTGTATTGTACTGTATTGTACTGTATTGTACTGTATTGTACTGTATTGTATTGTACTGTACTGTATTGTATTGTACTGTACTGTATTGTACTGTATTGTACTGTATTGTATTGTACTGTACTGTATTGTATTGTACTGTATTGTACTGTATTGTATTGTACTGTATTGTACTGTATTGTATTGTACTGTACTGTATTGTATTGTACTGTATTGTACTGTACTGTATTGTACTGTATTGTATTGTACTGTACTGTACTGTATTGTACTGTACTGTATTGTACTGTACTGTATTGTACTGTAGTGTATTGTACTGTATTGTATTGTACTGTACTGTACTGTATTGTATTGTACTGTACTGTACTGTATTGTACTGGATTGTACTGTATTGTACTGTACTGTACTGTAGTGTATTGTACTGTACTGTATTGTACTGTAGTGTATTGTACTGTATTGTATTGTACTGTATTGTACTGTATTGTACTGTGCTGTACTGTACTGTACTGTAGTGTATTGTACTGTAGTGTATTGTACTGTACTGCACTGTACTGTACTGCACTGTACTGTGCTGTGCTGCACTGTACTGTACTGTGCTGTACTGTACTGTACTGTGCTGTACTGTACTGTATTGTATTGTACTGTACTGTACTGTACTGTATTGTACTGTACTGTACTGTATTGTACTGTACTGTATTGTATTGTACTGTATTGCACTGTACTGTACTGTACTGTATTGTACTGTACTGTATTGTACTGTACTGTACTGTTCTCAGTATTTCACTGTACTGTAAACAAAATTGT